TTGGCGATCGGCCACAGAGGAACCCCAGCTGACCGCCCCAGACCCAGGAAGCACCAGTCACTGAGCCAGGGGGACACGGAGGGGGGGCCCTGCACGCTTCCCAGAGGACCCAGAAGTGGACCAGAAGTGCTTCTGGTCCAGTTCCAGGTCTGCTGCTGAGCAAGCTGGGGCTCCCCCCCATGCTTCTGTGGGACACTCCATCTGCCCCAGCATCACAGCATTCACGAGCCCCTGCTACCTAGAAGTATGTAGAAAAAACATTTAAAGCTTTCTCTATGTCTGAATGTCTGAATCTTTCCAAACCTCTCCGAATTGATTTGGAGGGTTCTGATTCAATGTGGAGAGATTAAAGGGTTCTCTGATTTAATTTGGATTTGGAGATTTGGCCACCAAATGGGGCTGAATCTCTGCCGAATCAAATCAGGGACCGAAGCTTTGCACAGCCCTAGTTACCGTGTGTTTGGTACTATACAAACATGGAACAAAAAGACTGTACTGGCTTAGGACAATAGGCTAGAGGCAACCAGAGAAACCCTCTCTCCTCAATATCAATATGATCACTAAACATTAAGCAAGTAAAATAGCCTAATTTTCAAAAGTGCACGGCTACAACCTAAACTCCTTACACATATGAAAAAGTTTGCACACAACTGTATTGTATTTGTGCTAATGACTGTGTTATGGTTGTCCATGTAAATCAGACTTTGCACACACACATGGCAGATTATGCATATAGCTGGCCAATCTGGGGTGCAAATACCAATCTCGTACTTTTTGTGGGAACATACAAATTAATTGTAGAATAAAAAAATAAGAGCATAGGGATTTTCACTATAATAGACAACCTTTTTCTAGTTATCTATTCCTTTGAATGTATTTAACATCTTCATTGGAAGTAAGTAATGTAAATAATAAAGCTGGTAAATAATAACATTTAGCACTTAAGGGTTTTGATATTTTGCACAATACTGTAGGAAGATTAAATATTTTGTAAATAAAAATTCAAACTTGAACTTATTCAAAATGGAACAAATATCTGCACCAAAGAAGCTAGATGTTGAAAGTGTTTAGAAATGCACAGATATTTTGAGTTTGCTCACAGTTCTGGAGATCACCATCATCTGGTTGCTCTCATTTCATGACCAAGGGATTATAGTGAGGCATGCCAGCAAGTGTACTAACACAAGTTTTGTTCATGGCACGTTCATCCCCAGTCATGGAACCGTCACCCACAGCTTTCAGTCATGAAGGAGATGGGTGGGATCTGCTGTCTAACTCTAGAAAAAACTTGCTGTCGCTGAAAAACCTTGTCATAAAACATAACATAAGAAACACAAGCAATAAATATCTGGTGAGAGATGGAAAATATAAAAGTAGAGCAGTGGTGCTCAACCTTCCTTCCCTGTGGGCTGGATGAGCGCACAGGGCCAATCCATGGACCAAATCCAGATATAGAGCACTTCTGCATGCCACCTGACCTGGCTCAAACCCTGGTGCCAGATCCAGTAGTCTACCATCCCAACGTCACATACCAGCCCCACTGCACACTGGTGCACTCTAGGGTGCAAGGCCATGTCATCCAGTCTGCAGGGATCCCTATAGGTCCAGAAATATGGCAGCAGCAGGGCAGAAATTGATGCTACCACCACTCTGCAAATTTCTGGGCGTATAGGGAGCCCCACTGGTCAGACGACACAGTATCATGAGCTAGATCTGGTCCACAGGTCAGAGGTTCAACACTGCTGGGATAGAGCAATATTCATTACCAATGCAGAATAATAAGCCCAATAATCCTCTCATTAAGGGTCTTCTCCTGCTCCTACTGAAGCCAATAAGAGATCTGCCATGGATATCAAAGAGAGGAGAATTGGATTCTTATGTCAATGCTTAAATCAAGAATGCCTCAGATAAAGTCAAGAGAGTTACAGCAGTAGCAAACTGATATCAATGAGAGAAGTATGCCTCTATCTCATTTTCTTACACATCCGTCTCTTTCCTATCCCATTTCCTACATAAAGACCTTTACCTTTACCCACATTTATTCTTAGATAGAATTACATTAAAACAAAAACAGAAATAAGACCCATCCTAAGGACCCAGAGGTATTACTGGTCAGCTCTGTGCCATGAGCAGTGGCAATACACGGTGGAGGAGCAGTTTCCAAAAGTTTGCTGCTGAAGGGGGAGGAGGGGAAAAGAAAACGAATTAGCTCCACAGCAAAATGTCACTCTCTACACGTGCACTGGTATTCGGGTGCAGTATATTAATTAACTCCACCGTAGGGGGACAGAATTATCTTATGGCACACTTACTTACTCTGCTAAAATGCACCTGGAGACAGTGATAGGAGCTGGCTGGGGCACACAGATGCTAAAGATCAGGGGCTGCCTGCCACACGGCTCCACACTTTAGCACTCTCATGCCCCAGCCAGCCCCTCTGCAACTGGACACCACCACCCAAAGCCCAAGGCTGACCCCCGAGCCTGCTGCCAGCTCAGGGCTGCTCCCCCCAGCTCAAACTGCTGCTGCCCAGGGTGCACATGCACACTGCACCCAGGAGCTATTGACTCTAGTGCAGTAGCTCTGGAATTTATTGTGTTGCATTAATTGCACCCAGTAGTAATCATTTTGAACCTGTTCTAAGATGAAGTAAATAGGAGTCGTTTCATTAACTGTAACAGTTCTGAGACCAAATCTTATTCAGAACCTCCCATTTTATTCACTTTGAAATAGTGTTTATTACTGCTAAACAGCATTTTTCCTTCAAAACCTACTCAGAAGGAGAATTTACAGAACATCTCAGTAGTTGGCGAAACAAAGATCAGATTTGCCTGGAGTGGTTTTGCATGTCAAATAATAATCTTTGGAAGCCTGTTATATTGCAGATGGAGATTTTAGCTGCCATGTTGTCCTTCTAAAAATAGCATGCATGATTGTACAGTTAACATAGAAGGAAACAAGAATGTAACTATTCATCCATATATCAACAAATCATCCAAGAAGCCCTTCTGCAGGATTCAATAATAAATAAAATAATAAACAATCCATTTTGACATGGGGAAAATGGTAAACATACCTTTAAAAATGCAGTGTATATTGGACAAAAATCTTGTGTGGTTTCATAGTTGAGGTAAATATTCCACAGATGAAGGTATTAATGTTTGAAGGCAGAGAAGCACTGTATAAATATTAATGGACATTTTAAACTTGCCAGAGTTGATAAAGTCTAACTAGTTCTAAATGAGGTGAGGAAAGAGATATGGGCAAATGAATGCATAGTTTTTAAGACAAAATACAATTAAATCTATTTCACAGACCACTTGCAACAACCAGCCTCTGTCTCCTGCACACATATTACAATATTCTTAAAACTTCCCATATAGTTGTGGCCCTTTCTTTAAAAAGAGCACAGATGTCTTATACTCAGAAACTGACTTGTGGCATTTTTTGAGGCTGGACCCAACTCAAGAGATTGTCAGTAGGACTTATTCCATTGACTTCAATGCAGTTGGAGTAGGTTCTTCAATAATATATTGTATGTTGCATTAAATCATCATGAAATATTTGTTTGTGACTGACTTAACAGCTCGACAGTAAGTTGCTGAGATATGGAAAAGGCAGTTCTTCAGCCACGGTCCTAGGGGACTTGGCATTTTGCTGAGACTATATTTGTAATCCATGGCAAAGAGTTGTAGTAGTTTTAGTCATGAGTAAATTTACAGAATGAGCCAGGTCATAGAATAAGTTTGACAACCAGCTCAGGAGTTGCTCTAGTGTACCCTGATAGCCATAGAAAGAAGCCAGTTGACTCCAACAGGCTTTAGAAGGCACAAATACCTACCACATTGAGAAATATAGCCAAATGTAATCTTGTTGTATCTTAGCATTTATAGCATGAAAGGAGCATCTTAAACTTAGAAGAAGTAATTCTTATGAGTTTAACATGTTGACCTCATGTGTTTCTACAACTGCATATAACAAGAAAGATGAGCAATTTTCTCTGTTTTACAAAAAAAAAGGCAAGTACTTTATTTATCAATGAATTATTAGCTGCTTTTTTACACCATTGCAATGACTAAACAAATAGCATAAAAGAAACATAGGAGAATATAAAACCACATTACTCCAGCTGTTACCCCGGACGACCTTTTGACAAAGTACAGAGTTAGATGTTTCAAGTATGGCACTTATATAAATAAGAGCAGAAAGAAGGTGACATATTCACAGTTAAAAGCAACAAACTCTGTTCCTTTGGTATGTCTGTTAGATCATCATAGGTTAATACATAACTTGGCTGAATATTAATTCCATCTTATTTATGCACGTTTATGCACAGGGAATTATTTTAAATGTACTGACACATTTTGTGGATCACGACTAGCATAAGATGATTAAGGTCTCTGGTGTGTGTGGACAGGCAAACAAAAAATGGCAAAATAATATTCAGCATTACTCTGTATAGTGTAATTAACTGTTGTACAAACCTATATTTGAAAATAGCTAATAATACACACCAGTAAGAAACTCTGTGACCTGGATGGATGAAATAAAGTCAGACATCTGTGAGATGGGAGTGCAGAAATGTACTGGCTGAATTTGTGGTCAGGTGGCTAGCAGTGCAATTACCCTCCTTTTAGAGCATGCTTACATTTGCATATCGCAACAATCCCCTCCCTCCCCAGTAAAGAGTATCCTTGCAATTTTTTTTTAAATATGAACATTCTACACTTGTTTACAACAATTAGTCAGACAGTCCAGACTGTAATCTCACCCTAACGATAACCAAAACAAGCCGCTCCAGTCAAAAGATAACATTGGATCATTAGCAATAAAGTAACTGTGCTGTAAGGCTAGATCAAGCATAGTTTTATAGCTGGTTTTTCAGTCTCTGATGTAGTACTGCATTGTTGTATCTAGTTCAATAAGTGCAGATCCGATACCTTAATGGCTTTCTTGGTGGTTTGATAAAATGCTTGCCTAAGCAATGTACCTTTCCCTAATGTTGTCTGGGTCTGTTCCACCTGGCACAGTGTTTCAGTTCTGTCACAGGCTCACACATAAGCTGAGTCACTTGACTGAGTCCTGCCAAAGTTAGGCATGCTCATTCTTGGCAGGTCTTTGTTTCGGATTTCATATATGGATTTCCTTTTGGCTTGTACTCCTCTCACCGCCATTTTGATCTTTCTCCAGCCCAGGTGGTTCAGTTCGGCCAGGTTGAGCACCACACAAATCCCACTCACCGCAAACATGAATACCAAGAAGACAGTCTTCTCAGTAGGTCTGGAGACGTAGCACTCAACTTCCTTGATGCAAGGGTATCTGTCGCATTCGTACATGGAAGGGACGTTGAAGCCATACAGGAAGTACTGCCCCACTAAGAATCCGATCTCGAGCGCATTGCGGAAGACCACCTGGATGATATAAAACCGGGAGATGCCTTCTTGCCTCCTCATCTTGGACTTGGTGGTTCTGATGGCCGGGTTGGGGATTTCCTTCACTTCCAGGCAGTCGGGCTCAGCTTCTTTGGTGGAGTTCTCCGTGTTCTGCAGCACTCCGTTGACAATGGTGTTCTTGATCTTCTTGCTGTCATCTCGTTTCATGGAGTCCTGGTCCCTGTCCAAGGTGAGGAAGACGGTGGAGTACCTCCTCTCCCGCTGCTTGGCCGACTGGTGGACAGAGTAGGTGATGAAGCAGAGGCTGGGGGTGCAAACCATGATGATCTGGAACACCCAGTACCTGATGTGAGAAATAGGGAACGCCTGGTCGTAACAAGCCTGGTTGCAGCCCGGTTGCAGCGTGTTACACACGAACATCGTCTGCTCGTCGTCGTAAACCGTTTCCCCCACAATGGCCACAATGAGGATCCTGAAGATCACCACCACGGTCAGCAGGATCCTGCAACACAGACGCGCGTCAGTGCCCGGGGCCCGCGGGAGCGGCCGGGGCAGGGCAGGGCAGGGCCGGGCCGGGCCG